TGGGGTCTGCAGGTGTCATTAGGCGTCTGAGAGGTTACTAGGGGTTCCAGAAAAGACTGGACATTTTTTTAAACTTCCTATTCCATTCAATGTCAGCACTTGCAGTGATGAATAGATGGAGCAGCCCTGTTAGCAGTTGTGCTGGAGATTGCTCACCTGTATGGCAGAGCTCCACGCGGCTGTTCACTTGGTTGAGTCTGTTCCGTTTTGGATTGGAGACAGGGAAGGAAGGTTGTTGGTAATGGGCGAGTGCTGAATTGTACCGAGGGAGGGATGATAGGGTGATGGCATCAGCCTCTTCCCTTGAACTCTATCTCCTGTCCTCCCCCAGCCTCCCTTTACCTACAGCCAACTGAGAGCAAACAAGCTTTCCTGATATGATACCAAATCAAGGGGTAACTCTTATTTCTAAGGAAACGCTTTGTAAATACTATTACTCAGATGCCTCCCTGTCGCTTTATCATGTTGTAAATATTGCAAAACATGGAGCTTATAGGTTAAAAGTGAATTGTATTTTTAAAGATTTCATTCTTTTGTGGTTTCCTTTTTTGTTTGCTTGCTTTACAGTTTGTTAGCACCTGTTTTACAAATATAACTTAAGAGTCCAATGTGGTGATTTTTAATTTTTTAATCCTCTCTCGAGGATATTTTTTCCCACTGCTTTTCAGAGAGAGTGGAAAGGAGAGACAGAAACATCGATGTGAGAGACACATCGATTGGGTGCCTCCAGCATGCACTCCAACCAGGGCCTGCAACCTAGGTACGTGCCCTGGCCTGGAATCAAACCCAGAACCCTTCAGTCTGCAGGCAGACGCTCTAACCACTGAGCAAAACTGGCTAGGGTCAATGTGGTGATTTTTGGAGATGAAGTGGTAGATGGGAGAGAGTTCTAAGCCTAGGTAATTCTGATAAATAATGAAGAATCACAACTTATGAATGCAGCAATGCTGCCAGCAAAATTGAAAAGACAACTACAAATCACACTGCAGGAGCAAATAATTTTAAATAGCCTTTGAAATCCCAGAGTAAAATTTGTTTTAAAAAAGTCAGTCACCTTCAGTAAAAAGGTGAAAAAAGCAAGTTAAGTAGCAGAACTTTCTGACTGAAAAAGGCCCACACTTGGTAAGAGCCTCCCAATTCTGGTATGTAAGTTTATAGAGAGTAAAATACATAATATAAGAAACGAAAAAGGTTTCACTCTGGAAGTTTGACAAATTGATGTGATTGATGACATGTCACATGATGCTGAAGAGATTTTGTGTAATAAACTAAAAAACAACTTTTAATCCACATTGATGAATCAATAGATTTCAATAACAAATGTCACATGGTAGCATTTGCAACATATGTAAATTGTGGTGAAATTAAAAAATTTTTTCCATGAAAATAAAATGCTGCCTAAGGTCAAGATACATTTACTGTTTTGTCTTCATATTGGAAACAAAGGCACATTTTGGAGGAAGAGTGTTGGCACCTACACTGATGGTACATCAATGACTTCAGCATTGTTCCCTAAGAAAAAGAAAATTCTGATGTACTCACAACATACTGTTCTCCTCCCAGAGAAGTGCTGGTGTCAGACATTTTTGGAGCTGAAATGAAAAAAATTCTGGGTGATGCTACAAAAATGGCTAAACTAATCAAAGGCCAGTTCACTAAAGAATGTTTAAAAAACTATGTGGAAACCTTGTCAAAGACCGCATAAAACCCCTGCCACGTGCATAAAATATCATGGCTTAGGGGATCGTTCGTTCTTAGGGAAGCCAGCTACCATGTCATGAGAATGCTTAAGCACTCTGTAAACAGGCCCATGTGGCAAGGGTCAACTGAGTCCTCTTGGCAAGAGACAGGATTAGCTTGCTCAGCACATGAGTGAGCCACCTCAGAAATTGATCCTCCATATCCAGTTGTGCTTTTAGGCAACTGCTGCAGCCTAGTCCACATTTTGATCACAACCACACAAAAGACCCTAAACCAGAACCATTAAGGCAAGCTGCTACTGAATTTCTGACCTGCAGAGAGTGTGCAAGACAATGTTTATTGTTTTAAGCCACTAAGTGTTGGGTAATTTGTTACATAGTAACAGAAACACAGATTTTTGGTTCTTAACAGGATGTTTGAGTTAGAAAAGTAAACTGTAGGAATACTTCCAAGAAAATAGTAGGCTAGATTTTGCCAAATGCTCTGAAGATCAAGAACGGCAAGCTGTAGAAACTTGCATATTTCGGAAACATTTTTCATCACATGAACTAGCTGAACAAGCATCTTGAAGGGCCTAGAGAAAATATTTTGATTTTGAGTGACAAGATTCTTGGTTTTAAACAGAAATAGAATCTTTGGAAAAATCCTATGGCAAAAAGAAATCCTGAAATATTTCTACTGCTGCTTGTACTTCAGAGTGAGGAAGTCTTAAGTGTCAAGTTGAGACCAAATCACCTGGGGAAATTGCAGAACAAAACTGAACAGTATCTTCCCTCCAGTTCAACACAAGTATGTCGCTGAATGAGGGCTCCTTTCTCTGAATCTTCTTTTCAATCGAGCACCTGACTTTGAAAGAGGAGGAAGAACTTTGTGAGTTGATAATTATAAACGTAAGATGAAATTTACTGATTTGTACTTCTACGAGTTCTGGATTTTTGCGAAAAAAGGACATTTTGCCATTCATAGGAAAGTAATAAACATTTTACTGTATTTTTCAACTTCTTGTGTGAATAAGCCTTTTCTTGTCTAATGAGTATTAAGACAGAAATCATCTCATTTTGGTTGCAAATGAAATATATGTATGCCAGTCTTAAGATCGGCTCAGAACTGAGCATATACACAGCAAAAGACAAGCAAAGATTTCATACTAAATAGGTAAATTTCATTATTTCTAATTTCAAAATAACTTTTATACATATATAGGCCTATAAAAAGAATTAGCATTCACTAAAATCAATTTGCAACCTTTACTAAATCAAATGAAAAACTGAAGTTTCCTCTCCCACTTGATTTGCACCAGACTTGATATCTTTTGCTAGGAGGGGAAAACTACAGAGAAGGATAATAAACAGAACAAAAATGAACAGATTCAGAGAACATTCTCTACTCAAAAGAGCACTGAGTTGCACAACGTGAACCACTGAACTATAGGCTTAAAAATGATTGATAAAGTTTATGTTACATGTATTTCATCAGTTAAAAAAAGCATTGACAATTATTATTGGGTCATTATGTCTACAACTTGCTACTCATATATATGTGTGTGTGTGTATATATACACACACACACACACACACACACACACACGGGTTTGAGACATGAAAATTATTTCAAGGATTCCTCCAGGATAAAAAGATTCCAGTGAATTGGAAATGGAGCTTTTCCAAGCAGGAAGTGTTCCTTAACAGTAGAGAAAGAGAAACAGAGCAATAATGTTGTCCTGATGGGGCAGAGTGAAGGTGTACAGTAATTATATAGGCCTAATCGATAGATTTTACTTTGGATTTGTTGCTAAAGGAAATGGGGAGCTATTCGGGGTCCTGAGGATGGCTATGGAATGAGGAAACTGTTTTAGTAAGGTCAGTTGTCATCACATGCAGTTCAGATGGGAGGAAGAAAACTTAAGCCTGGAACTATTTATTTTCAGTTTAAAACATGTTTTTATTGATTTCAGAGAGGCAGGGAGAGGAGAGAAACAACGATGAGAGAGAATCATTGATTGCCTCTTGTACGCTCCCTACTGGGGATTGAGCCCACAACCTGGGCATGTGCCCTGGTGGGGAATGGAACCATGATCTCCAGTTTCATGGGTCGATGTGCAACTGCTGAGCAATACTTCCAGCCTGGAAGTATTTTTTGAGGCAACAAAGATGCTCAGAATGTGAGCGGTGGTTGTAGTTCACTGCAGTTATTTCTGTAGCATTGAATTCTTGTAGACTGCATGATTTAGGGTAGGAATAACACAAGAAAGTGTGGTAGTGACAACAGGAGGCCTGTAATGACAGTACAAAAACCTGCCTTATATGGAATGAACAGAAATTGATAGCTTTGGAAAAAGGAGACCAAGGCTGGGGTAGGGATGTTGATGATAATGGTAGAGAAGGAGAGTGCTCAAAGGTCTGAGTCAAAGGATTCAGAAACCAAGAGTACGATGCTACCATAAGTACAAATTGAAAGCTGGAATGAACAATTTGGGAAGTGGAAGAGGAGGGGGGACTGAGGCCTGTGAGAATCCAAAGTTCTAGGGTGCCCCTCTAATTAGCTGGGGAAGTTACTTTGCTTCTCTGAATGTCAGGTCCTTTTATATAAAATAAAGGGGAACCACGTAATTTTGAAGGCCCCATAAAAGTTCAATGGTTTCATCACACTGAGTTGGAGATAAATGCAACACCAAATGGAGAAACACAATGTAAGTAACTATTAAACGATACAAGGCAAAATAGAGCAGATGAGTTATGAATAATTCTACCTCTGTATGATGTATAGAATTTAAAGTAAATTTATCAAATTACTTCTTACATGTAGGACTGTTCGGTGCTTTCTCAAGCAGCTTATACTTTAGTGTAGAAAGCATATCGTGATTCCTAATATTTTTCCATAGTGAAATTTACAAAGTTCTCTCAAAGTCAAAATAACCCTATGTAACAGGTACCAACCCCAACCCTCTTGCAGAGGTAGTCAACTGTGTCAAATTTAAAAAAAGAAGGAAAAAACAACTCGAAAGAAAGCAGGCAAGCCCTCCCACTGGGTTCCGCCGCGACCCGATCCCCGCCGGGGCAGAGCGCGGCTCAGAGCTCCCCAGAGGTGCGGGCTGGAGCTGGCCACGAACTGGCGAGCGGGGGACCACCGCGCAGCCTGAAACGCAAGGACCAAGCGAGGCCAGCGGCACCCGCGGGAGACCCACCGGGCCGCCGGGAGAGGGGCAGGGCTCCCTCCCTACGCGTCTGGAGGAGCAGCACCGCGGCGACACTTCCTGGAACGTCGGCCGCAACGGCGCCGCTATTATACGTCACTTCCTCGGCTTGGCGGTAGGCAGGTTGAGGCGACTGTCGTAAAGGAGCGCTTGACGTTAGATACCGTTGCTCCCCTTCCCGCGCTGAAGGCTGTTTTGGAAAGTTGACAGCGTCGTTGGTTCTGCGGGTGAGTTTTTGTTGTTGTTGTTGTTGTTTGTGA